TGTCCTCTAACCTCTGTAGCGGTGCACAGGTGATGAGGAGAGTTTCTAGCTTGAAACCGGACCACAGTGATTTAAGAGGGATGTTTGTGTGTTGTGCTCAGGTGGCTGCAAAGTCAACAGCTTTCCTGATGAACAGAATGATCCCTGAAAGGAGAGTTCTGCTCTGCCATCTCCAGAGTGAATGTCTGAAATAGGTCTGTGTTTTACTGAGTTCCATGTGTCTGGGCAGTCAGCTGAGGCTGATGATACAGGCTGTGCAGCAGCAAGAGCAAGGAAGAACACGAGAGGATCTCTGATTTCACTACAGGGACAGCCCTAGTGCTTAGGAGTGACAGAGAATGTGAAAGGCAGCAGCAGTTAGTCAGTGTGTTTGCCCCACAGTGGTGTCCTGTGTCAGGGAAACTCATGTCATGGACATATCACTGATGGAAAAGATGGGAGCTGTCTCTCCTTTCCACTGATGGGCAAGTCAGGAGACAGAAGGAAAGCCGGCATATTGCATCTCAGTGACAGGTCAGCTGGACTTGCTCCCTGCAGGAGAAAGCCTGCATTACTTAGCTTTTGAAATGTAAAGAAAAGTCCCAAGTGGTTGTGTTGGGCGAAGAGAGACTGAAATGCACCATTTTCCTAGGTCAGGGAGCTCGTGCCTACCTGTGTGCACCATAAGCAGAGGATGGCCCTTGGTCCAGCCAGTGGCGTCTCATGGGCTGCACCACTATTGGACCACCTGACATCCTGGACATTAGGATCACCCTAACCTTCATGGTGAGTGCTGCTGCCCAGCTCCTTTAACTCCCTCTCTAAGCATTGAGTGTCAAACTTCAAATAAAACCAGGTCCTTGCTTGGTAAAGAATTAGATTTTTACCTTTCAGGTAATTCATACTGCTGAATCTTAACAATTGCGAAGCTATATGTATAATCTCAACCAGGCATTTGGGGAGCCACTTCACATATTTCCATCATCTGTTTTAGGATAAAATTCATTGCCCTTTGGAAGGCACCCCTCTATCTCTGTTGACTTTGCAGGGACAAAACCCGCTGAGTATAGACCAGACTCCTAGACAGCTTTGTGTGATGGATCTTGCCCTTAGTGTGCTGCTCTAGTGTGTTGGGAGGAAATGGTGATACAATAGGCAGGAGCTGGAAAACATCTAATATCTACTGAGCTTATCCACAGCCTAACACATAAAATAATTATCCCTATGACCTTTTCCATTTTGAGGAGGACTCACTCTTAGAGAGAGCTTAGTCTCCTCAGCTGCTGAATGCTTTCAACAGCAGTCAGGGTTTCTGTGCAGTGACAGGAGTACGCAGCCCTCCCCAGGATTAGGCCTTTGGCAATCTCACGTTGCTTCTGACAATTCAAAGCATCTCTTGTAACAAATGTCCAGAAAAGTTCAGAATTGATTTATAAGTAGGCAGAGCATATAAGCACAATTCAGAGAGCAAGGCCTGTTGTTATGGCTGTAAACTAGCAGATAAAATGTTAATCCTAACCACATGATACCTGTTTTACCAGAGGTGTAATTATTTCTCGAGTAAAAGTAACAGCTTTGGATATGTTAGGAACTGCAAATTTAGGCAGATCATGCAAATTACAATGAAGAATTTAGTGGTGTGAATGTGTCAGCCTGTGTCATGTCTGAGTCATTGCACTGGACTAGATGTTCATTTGTGCAGCTCCTGTTGTCCCTGCCATGTGTGACATGTGACAACACATGTGTTCTTCAATTCAGGCAGTGTGGAACAGTAATATGCCTCTACAATACACCTCTACATAACTCAACTTCCAAATGCCATCTACAAGCAGGGACAATGAAAGCAGAAGTATATTCACTTAATGGCAAAAGATGGGAAATTTTCTTGGGATGAAAAAGGGCTGTTTTTTTGGGAACAGGTGAACCGTGAATTTTTTAGAAAGCTTTTTCAATTTCTGCTCACTATAACTATAAAACTTGTAACTTAATTCATTTGCAGAAGGAGGAGAAATAATCTTACTTTGTTCCTTGCATTGTAGCTTGCCCTCTCCTGGGCTTAAAAAGATATAGAAGCAGTCTGTCAGTGGGAATGAGTTCTGTTGTATGTAGGGCAATTTAAAAGAAAAAACTCTATCTCTCCTTTTCTAGCTTTAACTTAATTTTGCCTATCTTAACCAACTAAATGACACGAGTATTAATCTACAGGCAGCCTTGTTCTGAGTCTGCATTTTTGTCCTGCATGGGTAAGGGAAATTGACCCCAAAATATCACTGTTTGAATCATGAGCATAGAAGAGAAACTGGATGGGGAAGAAGGCAGCAAACTTCCGAGGCACAAGAGGGAAGTCTACTGCAGAAAGCAAGGGAGCAGAACCTTTTCCAAGTGTGTGGTAGACATAACAAGAAGTGTATGAGCTTAGCTTGTAGGAAGATGGTAAAAAAACATTTCTAAACATAGACAAAATGAAAGACTGGGATACATTGCCTGGGGATTATATCACTTGAGATCTGTAAGTACAAACTAGATATGTACCTGCTAATGATGAAATAGGTGTGGCTAAGAGGACATCAGGGTCTGAGGTCCTTCAAGCCCAGTTCTTTGAGTTCTGTGATGTAAACTTTCTTCCTTGCCATAAAAACATTACCAAATGGATAGGTCTGAATGAATGAAACCTATTGATTGACATTTCCTTCATGTGGTACAGTGGCCTATGTATTAACAGACAAAGAAATTAGGATGATGGAGATAGGGCATTGCAGCGGGAGCTTGCTTGGTGTGGGCTCCAAGAGCTCTAGCTGAGGCTGATTTTGGTTCTTAGAGCACCTTCTCAGCCCAGTGCCTGAGGGTTGGAGGATGAGGAATTACATGTTACTGTACAGGTAAGTCCCATTTATCAAGCAGAGTGTTTACTGCCTATCAGTGAGCGATCACAAAAACATTTATTTATTTCTGAGTTGGTTTGCATGTGAATTTTCAGCAGTTTAGATCCTATATTGCTCAAGAAGCAGATCTGATAGAGGAAATCTGCACAATTAAGATGATAAATTTTTCACGTCACCTGCTGTAAAGTATATAAAGTATACCTGTTCTGCCGTGAATGATTGCTACAAATGATGAATCAGCAAGGATGGGTCCATGTTTAACACCTTGGTTTGTGATTTTTGTTATAATCTCTGACATGACTGATTATGGCATGGCCTAAAGCAATTTATTGAATTAATGAATTACTTACTAATACATGAGTATGATTAATTGAGATGCCTGTTTGGATCCTACTCTGCATAATGAAGCTTGAGCACTGACAGGTGCAGCCTGTGGGCCTGTTTCTGTTTTCCAGGAAATGACAGGGAATCACAGAGATAATCCACACCAGCTAAGGCTGCAGGACTGTGCTGAGAAAACTCTCACAGGGAAGGTAACAGGCAACTCTTACTTCAGTGACCTGGAAGATTTGCCCCTTCCTGCCCCATTCTCTGCTTTTTCCTCCTTCAGCTTTTACTGTTTTATGTATTTACTGATTTATTGTCACCACTGCAATGACAAGCCAAGCGTGGCAGTACTGAACTGCTTCTGGAAAGCTGGTGTGAAATTAGGAGTCACCTTCCTGAAAGTCAGGTGCAGAAAAGAGTAACCTTTCATAGTAGTGTCTGGTTGAGTTATAAATGCCCCACTGGGGGTTGTTCTTGAATGTGGGTATTTTCAAGACTGAAACATTAGTGTTTTGGTTATAAACAGCACCGGTCATCTGTTGGATGCTGACTCCTTCTGAGGTAAGTTAAAGCAGTGACTGTGAGAAACTGAGTAGCCAAATATCATTAATATTGTGCCTGTGACATTGCTCACCCCAAGTGTGCAGCAGAAGACCTGGATGGACAGAAGGGATGAAAAGTGAGGAGAATGGTCCCCACTGCATTCCTCCCTCCCAGCCCAGCCTGCTGAGCTCAGGCTTTGCCACTGTGTAGGTGGCATGTGGCTGTGAATGAAAAACCTTTGTGTGGCTAAATTGTTCCCTACATTGTTCAGATGAACCATGGAGGACATAACCCAAGAAGGTAAAAAAACTGGGCTGTATGGTAGTAAAATTGATAGTTTCCTTCTCAGAGGGGTAGTTCAGATCTGCTTAAGGTGAATGGTTTGAAGGAAGAATCTGTCTGCATGCTTTCCTTGTGTGGCTTTGGGGGCTGAAGAGTGAAAAAGGGGGACAAAAGGCTGCCTGGCCTAATTCTGGCCTAATTCTTTGTGCCAGAGTGGAGCATATGTGTACCAATCAGTACTGTTTTCCTGAGGAGCCATGTTCTGATAATGAATAGAAAGCTGCTAAACTTACTGCTGCACAGAGCAATATACCTTTTTCTACAAAATGGGCCATTAACACTTGTGAAACAATAAAATTACTCTTTTCTAGTCCCACATTACAATATCTTCAGTTTTACTTTTAGAGTTAGCAAGGTAGCTCTGCTAGAGCTAATTCTGAGGGGAAGGATGCCAGTAGAGCTGCTGGAAAGGCAATGGAGTGAGACTGGTGTTCAAGTAGCAAGGCATGTTTGGGGTGTTTTGTTTCAGTAGGAAACTGAGTTTCGATTTTCACTGAGAAAACCTCTCTTCCACTGAACATCTTTTCTCAGAGGGTTTCTGGCAGCCCATTTCCACGGCAGAGCCATTTTAAGCCTTCCCAAGACTCTGTTCTTGGTACTCCACTTGTAGTTTCTGCATACAGGGGTGCTAGTCTTGCCATGCTGCAATGCAGACCCACAAACACCCGTGTCATACCTGAGCAGTGGGTCTGAAACATTACAGTGTGTACAAAGCAGGTGGGAAGGCCCTTTCAGGCCAGGACCCCAGAGCTGAACATAGTTCCTAGTGAATTACACCAGGAGTTTCTGCTCAGAACCCCCTTTCTCCTGTGCTGGCTGAAACTGAAGCCACAGCTCTGTAGGAGTGAATGGTCTCCCAGTTCACCTGGCCTTTGACAGAGAAGTGTGGTGATGTGGGATTGGAAATGGCAGGGACAATATGCGGAGTACTTCAGCAAGGCACACTCCAAATAGCCCCTGAGGGCAGCTGGGATTCACTGAGAATAACTAAGCCTGAGATGTCTGTGTAATTCATGGTGGCTTTTTGGATTCCCATCTAAATATCAGGACCAAAAAATTCAGACTCTGCAGCTGTTAATGAAATGATCTCTTGAGAACAGCTTTGCACATAAGGGATGCTTATTTTGTGTGCAAAATTTGTAAGGCCATCATTAGCTTTTTTCTTGACCCTTATTCCCAGGATGGTGAAGAACAATTTCATTTGCAAATAGTAGATTTCAAGGTCTATGATTTGAAAAATCTTCTTGAAGTGGTAATGCAAGCATTGTGCACTGTCTCTGTGGCCCAGGGCTTGCACGGTAGCTTCCTTATTGCATTAGCACCATTGAGTATTCTTCTCTTGTACTCATTCCCTGCAAAAGAGATATTGACAGAGGGATCCCTTTGAGTCTTTGAGTTTGCCTGACTGTGGAAAAGAGTAGAGATGGGTATTTGGAGAAGAATAGTGGGAATAATTGTTTTTTCTATTGGTGCGATGTATTGAACAACAGATTTTTTTCACCCTGAGCCATGTGAAATAGACATTGTGTAAACTTTTGGGCTGAACAAAAGATTCAGTTAGTCAGATAAAACAATCTCAAAGGGTGTAATCTGGAGACAAATGTGCAGAAAATGTTAAACAGAGGTGTGCAGTGGAGTAGGAAGACAGTCAACCTGTTCATGATCCACGTGGCCATCTATGCTTGCAGGGTCTTGTATGTCCTCTGAAATGGATATGTGACTGAGTGTAATCACTTATTCTGTGTATGTGACCAAAGGATTTGGTCAAAAAAAGTCCCAACATCCTCCAGTTTAACTGAAATACTGTGTTGCGTTATTAAGACTTTTAAATGCCTGTAATAAAACAGAAGCATTATTTTGAACAAATGTGTTTTGTTATTTTAATATTTATGATTTAAATGTTTTGCTTGTTGAACCACTGAATGACATGACATTTCACTAAATGACATAATATTTCATAATTTTGCCAAGCTCAAACATAGATGAAATTTATGGGATGGAGTTCAGGAAAGAACATGGGTGAGAATATGGAGAAGGAGAAAAGGAAAAAAGCTTGGGAACAGGTTGTTCTATAAGCTGAAAGACCTGCCCATGAAGTATTGTTGGGCCTATGTTTTGAAGGCTGCATTGACAAGAAGGAGCCATTCTGGGATTTCTGGTAGAAAGCTGTTGGATGAGGAGTATGGAATTAGACTGAGTGAAGAGTGAAATTTCTGGATCATGTTTCTGAAGAGCAGTTGTGATAGCAATCAGGCTGCACTGGGACAGTCTCAAAATACCCTTCTGATCAGAAGTTCTGAGAAATTTGTATTTGAGAAACCAGGTGTTTCTAAAATGACTGAAATTCAGCCATGCTGCCAGCTGCACAGAGCAGATGACATCCTTGTCAGCTGTATTTCTGTCACCCACAGAAATACCACACCACAGCTGTCTGGAGCTCTAGTTAGAGGTTCCCTTCTGAGCTCTGGGTCTCCTGAGTCCACAGCAAGAAGCCTGGAATGCTGACTTGGCTCATTACTCCTGAGCTGGAGAACCTGGAAAGCATCACATCTTTTCTCCTGTGGCTGCTCACCTTTGCAGTTTGTCTCAAGTTTTTAAATGGGAACCTGACTTGCATTTGCCAGAAATTCATCATCCTAAGATATAGCAGTCAAAGTCTTTGGCCCAGCAGCATGGCATTTACATTTTGAGTGCTCTATAGAGCATAGTCCTTGCACGTGGCACATTACCAGCTTCTGAAGGGCATTCAGTGCTAAATGGCCATGCAAGAGATTTGTGTGAGAAAAAATCCTCTCATATCTACTGCTTGGTCATAAAAAACACTTTAGTGCACAAACAAAAAGATAAAAATTATCTTTTTTATGTGTTTCTGCTGCATTTCTCAAAAGGAGGCACGTGTTCAAAGCATGCCTGGCACTGCAGTTTGCAGTTGTACTTGGTGGATCCTCATCCCACTGAAACAGCTGACAAACCGCAGAAAAGCCACTGAAACATGTGACCTACCTTAGTTAATGTCAGCAAAAATGGCGAGAGAGAGAGGAGGAGACCTGAGACTCCTCCAAAGGTGACTCCAAAGTTCCTCTGCTCTCCTGGGACTTTCCTCAGCCTCGTGCTTTTTCCAAGCTCCAAAGTGCAGCTATGCTTTAAAAGCCGACAGAGCCAGAGGCATTTTTTCCCCTTGCTTTCATTGATTTTTCTTGACATACTGATGTTGCTTTGCAGACAGAAGTGCTCTGTTGTGGCCTGTGTCAGGAGCAGGAGGGAGAGCCAGTGTCAGCCACAGCATCTGGACCAACTGCTCGAGAATCAAACTCACTTTTCATTCATGAGTGAACCTGCTGTGTGAGAAATTGGGATATATTACTTCCAATGCTTGCAAGTTACACACCACAGAGTAATGGCATGGGTAAGCTATGAAATAGCTTTCTGTATGACCAAATACTGTTAAAGATCAGAAAACCCAACAGAAACTAGGGTGCTCAGGCTTGCAGTCAGATTTCTCATTACAGCCATGCCTACCCCCTGTGCTGTTAAGAAGCCTACCAGTTTTCTGAACAGCAAAATGTTTCCTCCCCTCTCCCCCTTGTGCTCTGGATCCGTGATGGGTACAGGGTGGGTTGCAAGTGCCTCTCAGCTCAAGCTCTGCCCTGCAGGGAGGTTCCATCACAGACCTCCTCACTGCCTGAGGGAGGCTCCTTGCAGGCCAGGGGAGGATACCTGACTGAGTAGTGAACAAGGTCCATTTGTCATCTGCACTATGGCATTTGTTCAGAGAACTCAGGAGACCTGAATTAGAGAAATCCAAGAGCAGATCTGCCAGCCCCATCAGTCTCACAAGCCTCTGTGTCTTCTCAGAGCTTTGTGGGAACCCTGTTGTTGAAAAAAGAGCATTTCATCACAGTGCCTGATTGTGCTGCATAATGACAATATCCTGTGCTGCAGGGAACTCCCTTCTTCCTAAACCTCTGTGAAGTGACTCAAGGAGCTAAAAAGGCTATATTGCAATCAGCTGGGAAATCACTGCCATCTGATAGCTCTATAGCATCTGCACTGATTTTCTGTAGGACACTTGATCTCTGCAGGTAATCATGGAAAGAGACTGGAAGAGAGAAAACAACCTCAGCAGTAGTGGTAGCTTTCTGTGAGGACAGGTAAAACCCAAATGTGAAGAGTTAGGAGGAGGGGGTGATGACACCCCTTTCCCTCCCTAGGCATGCCGTATTTCAGGGGTGGGATGTGGTCCCTCAGACAAGGGATGATGCAGGCCTGGCTGCATTGGTTGAAAATCTACAGCAGAATAACACACAGCATCCTTGAGAGCTTGCTCTCTGATTGCCCACGCTGCCTAAACAACAGCACATTCTCTGACTGGTTTGGCCTGTGCCCATTAGTGCTCTCTGAGATGCTGCCCAGTCAGTTTGTGAAACAGCTGGTAGCAGCAACCATGTCCAAAAAGCAGCAGGGCTGTGATTGCACCAAGTTTGTCTCTCTGCACTTTAAGCAGGCCTCCACTGCTATTCTGGTGGGCTTTGCACCTTCAGACACCCCACCATGCCCTCACACCATCCTTCAGGCATGCAGCAAGTTTTGTCTTCGTGGCATAGCAGAAGCACTCTGATTTCACACCAAACTTCACACCCACAGGTTATGTACCAGCTTCTCTGTGTTCTCAGTGAACTTATCTGGTCTTAATTCTTCTCTTCCAAGTAAATCTGAATCTCCTCTGTTTCTAAAGTCGTGATGGTCCAACATTTGCTCTTTACAGACCTATTCTTAAAGACTGGAAGAAGTGGAGCACATTTAAGTGGATGGATGGGAGTCCTCTCATGTTTGAGTCTTTTCATTCTAGAAAGTTTTCACCCCAACTTTACAAGGGCAAACTAAACTTTTTTCCACTGCCAGTGTCAAGTGAGTACAACACTCCTTAGTGAATCTATAACCTGGGCAAAAAAAAAGAGAAAACTTTAGCTATTGAATAATTCATGGCATCCTTGCAGTAGTTCTTCTCAGTTTGTATGTAATACTTTTCTCAAATATACACTGAAGATTTTCTTGGGGTCTTCTTTATGGTGCTATTTGGGTAATGTAAGATGCTATTAGTACGTGAAATGCCACTGCAGAGCATGAACACAGCTCATAAAGTGATGATGAGTTTTTGTAGCTGCTTCTTTTAGAGGTGTGTTTTTTATGCTCTGAACTCCTCACCAAGTTCAGAGGAACTCAGAACCACAAAGCATCTTCTCGAGTGCATTTTCTTTACATTTAGCTTCATCTTTACTGTCCTTGTTTCCAATTGCCATAATTTCTGGCTTATAGGCAGTGCAGGAGAAGGGCGACTTTTCTCAATAGTCAGCCATCATGTTTACTTGTGAAACTTCTGTTCTCTCTGACTGCCAGTGCTGCATGTGGTACCCCAGGACTTTGTCTGAGAACTACTGCTGTGTCCTGCTGTCTGTCCCTGCAAGGTACCTGTCCTTCCATGGGGATGGCAGCAGACACTGGGGCTCAGGGTGGTCCCCTCCCTCCTGGAGCCAAAGGACCAATTCAACATCTGACTCATTAATTTCCTTTTGTGATGAGACATACTTTGACTTGCAAGTATAATTTGTTGAGAAGGGATGGATGAATATTAGCCTGGGGCATATTTTGCTTCTGTCTGTCTGTAAACCACAAGAACAGTTTTGTTTTTGAATTCCTGTTCTTGAAGAAGAACTCGAAGGATAGATTCTGTGTGGCAGTGCCGCACATGTGTCATCCTCTACGTCCAAAGAACAGCTTGTTTTTGGAAGGTGTAGTTATGAGAACTAGTAAAGCAGTTAAAATGCACCTACAGCTCCACTGATTATTTGCAGCACCAGAAGGACAGCTTGCAGCTTCTCTGGCCAAAGTGTGCTGCCCAAGGTAGGGAGCTCAACTGGTTACCAGCTCCTCCTTCACTTGAAGTTATCAGACTGACCTTTTCATCACCTTTCCTAGCAGACATTTGGCTGCTCGCTGCTGAGTCAGAAGCTGCTGTCTCAGCTGAGAATACCCTGCTTTGTGAGTCATGCACTGTCTCTACAGGCAAACTGTTTAAAGGGCATGGTTGAACGTTGGCTATTTCTGTGCTCCTTGAGCATCATGCTGCCAAGTGGATTGAAAGGTGTCTGGAAATGTTGCATCATGTATAATTATTTTTCTGAATATCCTTCTAAAGTTACTCTAGCTCTCTGTATTGATGAGCATTACTCCCTGATTCCAATTCATATATAGGGTTGAGGAAATAGTGGGCAAGTCCTCCTTCCCAGCGGTTCTTGTGATGGGTACACTGACGTGTCAGACGGTGAGTCATCAGAAATTTGCTTGATTTTGTTAGGTTAACCTTCATTTTTCTAAGCCCTCCAAGTGGCCATAGCTGCTTCCTTGAGTGGCTGACTTCAGAGAAATGTCAAGATCCACAAATAAGCATCACACAGAAGTAATGCCTGTCTGTTCCATGTGTTAACTTCTGAGCTCTGCTATTCATTAGTAATCAAAATGCAATAGCATTCAATAATGGGAAAGTCACATTTCTGTCAAATTATTAGTGGAAAATTTTACATTTAAAAGATATATATTTATGTCTAAAATGTATATGTGATTATACACACACATATTTATATGTGTTTCTGTATATATGTGTATGGGTGCATAATCCTAAACATTCATGACCAGGATGGATGTTATAGCTACCAAGCTGAAATCAGAAATATTTTGGAAAGTCTGATCCAGCAAATAATTTATAAACCCATGATGTAACTTTCAAAAACCATGTAGAATAAAGAGTGAAGGATTTTATCATCAAATGAACACACGTGTTTCTTTGGCTTTGCTAATGAGGAACAAGACTTGTTTTCTCCCATCTTGTAATTGCTAGGCATCTGACTTCTCAACACTTGGTGTTTAATTATAAAAATTAGTCTGCTCTAGCCTTTGCATTCAAGCCAGATGATCAGTCTGCTGCCAATTACAGTGGTCTTTGTTATAGCACAACACCTGACAAATTCAATAGCTGAAATGCTTTGTGTTTCTGCTGAGAAGTACCAGCTCTTGCTTCAGGCTGTGATTGCTGAATCATATATCACAGAGCTCTGGTCATGAATCTGGCTATGAATTCCCCTCTAGTCTGGTAAAATTTTCAAATCTGGGTTTTTGGGTTTTTTCCTGGAGAAGGTTTTTTTCCAAATGCATACAAAATTGTGATGGTTCATTTCTTGTATTTCAAACAGAAATTGATAACATCTGTTGGCAACAGCAAGTGTTAACTACACAGATAAAGCCAACTCTTTGCAAAAATATAGAAAGAATTGCAGGTCTTTAAAAAATGTGAAGGATTTGTAGGAAGCCTTGCCACTGAAGATGTGAGGCTACTTTCCACAGTGGTACCTTAAAGACATTTAATGTTTAAAAACATTTTTCTTTATTAGTTTATTTATTATTATTATTATAAAATATCTTATTTGGGATCCGACTGGTTCTTTCTATTCCAGTAAACATTCCTGGTAAGCCTTGCATTTGTATGAAATAAACTCCTTTCTCCTACAGCAGAAGCACTAGAAAATAGCAATGTGTTGTTTAACTATACATCAAAGTCTGGTAAAATGGATGTTTTCCCTTGCTGGTGAGGGGAACTGGCTGTAAGTTGGGTGCAGCCCCTTGTAAATTGTGATCAGCTTTCAGTCTTCTCTTGGATGAATGGAATGGATAAAGATGCCTTTCACTGCAAGGAATACTTTTTTGATTTTTTTTTTTTCCTGAGGTTATTTCTCCTGGGTTTTTAGCTCCAGTAAGTTGATTTAGACATACATAGTAGATCTGCACACTATTCCTGGATCCTTGGTGTTTTCAGATCACCCCTGATGCAGTAGGGGCCAGGTGCTTGCATGATCCCTTTGGGACTGAGGAGCCCAGCCCCAGAGCACAGGGCCTGGGACTCCTTAGGACAGTGGTTTAGACCTGGGCAATCCCAAGGAGATGCTCCATCTCCAGACAGTTTTCCCCTTTGCTATGTGGGAATTAAGAATATTTCCCTTTTTCCCCCTTTAGAATAGCTTCTCATGGACAGTTTATAAAATAATTTTGTTCCATTTCAGAAGAGAAAACATTTTCCACAGTGCTGGTTTTGGTGGATTCACACAGGCATTTTTGCCATAATGGTTTTGCTTATGGAGGGGAGGAACCTTCTTAAAGTCTTTCAGGACAGTGGAAAACTATTAAGATCCTTAACATGCTCCTCAAAAATATGTATGATGAGGATCAGCATATTTATGAGTAACTGGTGAAAATGGGAATACCAATGAAAATCCCCATGAAAACGGGAGTATCAATCCTTTTCACACTCAGGTTTATGAAGTAATTAAATGCCCTCATGCAGACACCATCAACAAAAGGATGCAAGTTGCCTTTGTTTTTACTGACAGGTATTTAGGTGGGGCAATAGCTTCTCCTGTGGTTTGCTGACCGTGAATTTAGTTGGAAAGAGCCGAATGATCATTTTGTCTAGTACAATTTAACTAAAACACACTTGAATCATGCTGCAGGCCTGGATGGTGGCACTGTATGGAATTGCACTGTTCTTCATTTGGCTTTGCCAGCAGTGGCCTGGAAGAACAGAAATACTCTGCAGGCTTCAGCCAGCACGTGCTTATCCTGGGCTATGCAGGGCCATGTCAGGCTGCCTGTAAACTGCTTTTCTGACCTGAGCTCAGTAGTTCCAAGGTGGAAGGAAATGGCTGCAGATCCCCACCCCACATCTGTGATGAGCAGATAATGTGTCTCATGCAGAAAACAAACAATTTTGGAGCAGTCTCCTGGGTGAGTTTCTATAGTGGACAGGGTTATGCACTGATACTAGTACTTATTTGACTCCTGGGAAGCATAAATACACAAGTGCTATATTACCCTCAGTTTCATGTCACTGATT